AGATAGTTTAATTGGGACATATTTTACAAAGGATCAGAGGCCACAGAGCTGACATCCCCGAATAAGTAAACAGGAACATTTTTGACTCATATACTTTCAAAAATACATAGGCGACCACATTTAGAAGGGTTAACCCTGGAGCGTAGATAGGATTTACATTAAAAGGGTTGAGTGCCGTATCAGAAATCACAATATCTACATTCTGAGATAAAATTATGCTAAGACAACAGTGAGGGTCATAATGCACCATCTTCGTCCACAATAATATTTGAGCGTTTATCTCTCTTTGAACTTAAAATCTGTGTACGCATCTTGAATGCAAACTGATTTGCATAATTACGCTGAGCTCTGGAAGCCTTGCGACTGCCGCGAATATTAGTGCGTAGTCCGATGCGGGGGAGTGGCGAACCCAGGTCAAAAATTTGCCTAAGAATAATGTTGTCTCGCAGATGATTGGGCAAGCCACCCCCCAGGAGGTCACAAAGCAAGTTATAATAAAAGTGGCTGCACCACGTATCGATTTGCAAAGTCTCTTGGTTCCCGAACCGGACTGTCGTGTCTGGAGCTTCGTCACGTACAATCGAATTGACAATCTCTCGAAAAGAATGCCGCTGCTTTTTGCGGTCCTCCTTGGACCGACTTTTAGCACCATCAGTAGAAAGATCATTAAGTAGTTGACACAAGTTACGAAAATGAGTGCCTTGATATTTCACATCAGTTTCCGCGCGAATCCTTTCATAAATAATTGCGACGGACTCACCGGCGGAAATACGGACATCAACATTGCTGCATTTGATAAGACCAATCAATGTAATCAAACTACTTTTACCTATTATGTTAGCGTCATGTTTAGGAAGCATAGTGTATATAAGTGTCCAGGCCTGTAGAGTATTCAGATGCAATAGGACTGTCTCGGAAGAAAGAAAGGGGACTTTACCGTCGCCCTTAGGACAGGACCCGCGGAAAATGAGCTCTAGATTATTCATTGTTTCCTTTAGAAAATCATAATTCCCATCAAAAGTAAAAAATAATAAAGTGGATAGAGCAAGAGCACAAGAGCCCCTGACGACATAGGGTTCGCCGGCATCTCGGTAAATAACTTCAAGGTGATAGCGTATTTTTTCCAGCCAATCTTGTAATTCTATAGAATCAACCTGCGTGCAAAGAACGGCAAGGCATTCAGCGGCTGATGCTCGCTCTTCGGTTCGACCACGTTTGAGGATAAATTCAATTCCACTCAGGCATGTTGATGAATAGCCCCAGGTTTCATCTAACCCTATGTAGGCCGATCGAAGACACAATATAGCTGCTTTTACAGCTTTAAGTCGTGTATCTGGACGTTTCTCCATGAATGAATCGACAGAACTGCATAGCTTTTCAAGTGTCGCCTGCAATGCAGCCTCCTCGTCAAGCTAAAATGAAAGAAGATAATAAATGGATTG